CATGGCGCGCAACCTGCGCACGGGGCCCGCGCGCGACTCGCACACGCGCTTTCCGTACGCCGTGCTGCGCGACGCCGTCGTCGACCGCCGCCCGGCCGCGCGCACGCAGATGGGCGCGAGCGACCCGCCGGGCACCGTCCGCCTCGTGCTCTACGTCACCATGCACCTGTCCGCCCGCCTGACGACGCGCAACGCGGCCGTGCGCTTGCTGCACGGCTTGCGCGGCGAGGTCGAGTGGGTCCACCACGTCACCCAGTTCCTCGTCCCCGCACTCAAGAAAGGGTACAAGCCCGGCCTCAGCAACAAGTTTGGCAAGTACGTCTCCGAGTGGCAGGTCGGCATCAGGCTGTGGCCGCCGGAGGGGGCCCACGTGCACGCCGTTAGGGACGCCGCCGCCGCTAATTTCCCCCTCAACGTCACCATCCCCGTCCTCCGCTACGACGGCGAGGAGGTCGTGTGGCCCGTCGAGATGGGCCTGGGCTGCGTCTTGGGCTGGCACACCCCGGGCGTGGAGCATCGCGTGGATAAGTGCGGGGAGTCCGGCGCCGCCGCTGCCCAGGGCGCCGTGCTCATAAGCGGCAGTGCCTTGTACGGCCCCAAGAAGAAGGAGCGCCGCTACTTTCAGGAGATTGCAAACTTTGCCGCAAGGGCCCTCATGGGGCCCGTGCGCTATGATGCCGTGGCCATGGGCGTCGTCACCGATTACTCCCGCTCAGACATGGAGTACAAGTGCCGCATGGCCGACGTCGAGTGCTTCGAGAAGCTCGACGCGTGGAACGACGTTATGATGGACAGGATTGCCACCGCCGTGGAGGAGGAGCTGGCGGAGATCGGCGTCCCGAAGGAGCTCTTTTCGCGCGTCCTCCTCATACCCTCGTGCCGCCTCGGCTCGCACGCCGACAAGACAGAGTGGCACGACCCGTGCAAGCAGTCGAAGAGGTATGGCCAGTACTTTGCCACCTTCTACTCCTACGCCATGCTCGCCCCCTTCTACAAGGTATGTACCCCGCCCGCCCCCGCCCCCGCCTACTACTACTTTGCTTGTGCCCACTTTCGTGTCCCAAAACTCGTCTGTCTGTCTAATCGCGTTTACATGTCTGCACCTTCGTCACAAACAAAACAAACCAACAAACAAAAAAAAAAAAAAACACACACACACAACCCCCACACCCTACCCCACCCCTCCTAGTGGGCCGCGAGCTACGACATGGACGAGTTCCTGGCCTCGGTGCCGGCGCTGCCGAAGCGGCCGGGGCCCGCGGACCAGCTGCTGGACGAGGCGGACAGGAGTTTCAGCGCCCCTCGCGGCGACATGGTATTCCAGTGGCTCAACTTCCGCGTGCGGTCTGCGGAGCACTCGCGCGCCCTGTCGGCGCGCCTGATCCGCGGCCTGCCGACCACGCTGAGCAACCAGGAGAACGCGTCGCGCCCCGAGCAGTGCTACGAGCGCCCGCGCGACGAGACGGCCAAGTCGGCCGTGCGCTGTGACGTCGGCCTCGGCTTCACCATCCACCACCCCGTCATGTCCATCGCGGGCAGAGGCATGGAGATGCAGCAGGGCAATCGAATATACCGCGGCCTGCGCACCTGGCATGCGAGACTGGGTGCCCTCAAGTGGGCCCACGTCGCAGACTGCGATTTCGAGCCCGACTCGGGTGAGGAGACATGACCACGCATCGCCCGCGCACCCACTTGATCAGTGCGAGGGGCGTTGCTTTTTTTTTGTTTGAGCGTGACGCCCCGGTTGGCTCGCCGAGGACAAGAAAAAAACATGTATATAGTTCTTCCCAGAGGCCTACGTGCCTACGCGCCAAAACAGCACAACTAGCTCCCCCTTTAAACAATTTAACAGGCTTAACTAGAAATAAGAAACGCTGCAATTAAGTGGACCCGCACGCCTCAAAAGGGGGAACACTGCGCTTCAAAAGATCTGGCAGATGAAAAGGGTTTTCGTGGCAACGGGCGTTGCGAACGTTTGTACAGTGTGAGGGATGCAGGCAGGTCTCAACAGATCACGCCATGGTCCACCGAGGACGAGACGTAGAGAAGAGGGAGCGGGGGCGGGGGGACGGAAAGAAAAAGTCAAGAGACAGCTTGGGTCGTACACTCAATTCGCAGGCGTGAAAGAAAGGACCAGTTTTTAAAATATTCCAGATCCCAGGCAACTGCTATATGAAAAGCGTCAAGAGACGGGGGGCGGCCATCGCCCGCATCTGTAAATTGGAATCGACATTTGTGCCGTCGATGGAGGGGGCGGTTGGCGGGCGTAGGTACAAAAACCATCTGTTTGTGGAGCGGAGACGTGTTTGTTGCCAGACGAGAAAGCAGTCTTATTGAGACCCCTTCCCCTCCCTCGATACACCAATGAGAAGTAACTGCGTAATGTCATTGCAAATGAGACGCATTTGCATTCCACCTCGCTGTTTTGGAAGGTCCGCTGAATTATTGCGGACAAAGCCTCGCATGAATATTGCTTACGAAACAGGGTAAGACATCTAACTGCCAACATGCGTACAGACGTTGCTTCTGTGCTGGACCAGTATATATGAGGGAAGAAGAGCTGTGGTATGTTCTTTCGCTTAGTGTGCGTTGGACATGCAAAAAATCTCCCCGCAACCTGCGCAAATTTACATTATTGTCGCACTGGGAGGATGATACGTATGCCATGCCAATCGAACAGATTGTTGCAAACCTACACATTACAATTTCGCCAGCTTATGAATGATGTCGCACATTCTGGCCGAGCGTGCTACCTCCTTCGCGTCTACTTGCACCTGTCTAAGTTGATTCTCCCGTGCCACCAGCAGTCCGCCTCCTACGGCTTGTATAAAAATATCCGCCTCGAGATTCTGTTTTTTTAATCGATCCTCACGTTAAAGTGATGTACAAATGACACAGCCACTAGGCCTCTACAGTACATCTGCTTTCGCCATGCCTTGCAGACAGACAAGCATGCGAGTCAGCGTGTCGTGAAAGGGAATATCTTGTACCTCATTGATGAAGTATACGCACAAAGTACAGTAATGTCCTCATCGAAGGCTGTTTAATTCAATTTAGGGAACCAAACTCTATGCTCGAAATGCATTGTCAGAGTCAGATGCCAGCCCGGTGGCGGCGATCCTCCATTGTGTTACGGATCAGCGAGCATTTCTCGAGACCACCACGCCCTTTGGCAACAGGCGCAGCGAAAGAGACGACTATCGCAATTACTGCAGCAAGTGACGTTTTTCTGTCTTTTAAAACTGTACCATCCTCGCGCGTCACCTCCCTATTGGCTGCCCACATGTCCTAAGAGCAGTTCTTTGCATCCATTTGATGAGGGAGAGGCACTGGGAGGCACTGAGAGGCACTGAGAGGCACTGAGAGACCCTTGATTTACGGTACAGTGCCTCCTAAGATATAGTGCTATAGCGTGACATACCTCTAGCTATGGCACTATTGGGGGGATGGCACTATAGAAAGGAGGCTCAAATACATATTTTTGGGGACAAAGCACACTGCTAACACAAACACAACTAAATAACTTCATCCTTTGAGTACTGAACCATGCCGGATGATACACGTGTGAGCGTATGATAACCTGTGCCAGACGGTGAGCCATAGCACTATATAGAGGGAAGCACTACTAAAGTAGGCACTATTGAGCGACCCCCCCCTGTAGTCGTACGAAACATCCGCCCTACTCAATCTCCACAAAGATCGTCCCTTCCGTGATGTACGTACTGTATTTGTAGAAAATTTATCGGCGAGGATGTACGACAGTCCACGATGCGGCCTCGAAGTTTTCTGCTGTATCACGCCACGCCAAGCTGCGAAAAACATAAGCCCTCAATAAAGTTTACCATATATTAGCCATGCAGCGCTCTAAAGAGTGCGCAACACAACAAGTGCGTCGCCATATGTGACGGCCCGCAAGGGGCCGAGAATTAGTTTTTCCCAAGTTTTTCGCCAAGACAAAGGGGTCTGAAGCACGGCGCATATAGCACTCGAAAGATGATTGGTTGTAGTGATTATGAAATATCGATGAATTCTGAGTGATCGCCTGCTATATCCATTTCTATCCTGCGCCAGGAAAGAAACGAATATAGAGATAGGTGCTTCCAGATAGTAACCGAAAAAAGCGATTAGCGCACCAGTTGACATGCCAACAGGGGAAAATCTCTAAAATTTCGAAATTTACGCGCACTGGTTGCCTTGCTCTTACAGTATTAAACACAGATATTCGAACTGCGATTTGCGAAGCCGATATATATTTTTCAAGTTTAACAAGTGTTTGTTTTATGTTTTATAAGTGCGCACTTCACCATTGACAAAGAAATTCCATGGGAAGACAAGACAGCAAAGCAAAACAACAAACACAGCAAACACGCTCTCCCAGCGGAATATAGGGCACGTGCTACACTGAGTACACTTTATATAATTCACTCTATAATCATTTCCTGAGAGGACAGCATTCAATGGAATCGACCCTCTAGAGCAATCGCTGTTTTATGAATGGCACGCGATGGGTTATCGAAGAGCCCAATAAAAACCTGTCATCAGAGTGATTTCGGTGCATCCTTTTTCTGTTTCACACTTTCTCATTTTTCAGAAGTATTAATCATAGAGATTGCCTTAGCTCCATCATTCATATGTTTGAGAAATGGCGTTCTTGTGAAGGCACCAGAAGTATAAGGTTCACTTTCTCCATCCATGACAAGTGATGTTTAGCAACAGGGTACAACAGTACCCCATCTTTCATTCAGCAATGAATGTGTATGCTCTCAGCGCCGTTGCAAATTATAAATATGAGTGTCGTAGCAGCGAGATATAAACGGATATTACCAAACTGCAACACAAATTTAGATTCAACAAGAGAAAAGGACAAACAATCTGAATATGCGGTATGGGGCAAATCAACGTGCCCGCAAATAATGCCCGACGAAACCCATGAGAAGTCTTGCTCCATCCACGCCTGCATTGGAACACTTTGAACAAAGAAGAGACGGAGTGGGGGGGTTTGTTGCGATGCGGCATGCGTAAGTGGTTAACTGGGGACAAGAGGTTGAATTTTTCGAGTTAAACAAAGTCAAGTCCTGCTTTCCACAAACACTCTCAGATAGTTTATGTTTCAGCAGAAAGAAAAAGAAAAAGACAAAGAAAGATAGTCAATCAAAAACGTGTTCCAGATACCGCAGACCTAAAGAATCGCAAAAAGTGTGGCCCGCCCGCCCTCTCTGAGCGTCGCCTTGAGAGCGCAACTGCGGATTGGCGGGGACTGAGAGGATTGGACACCATCGCCATTCTCATAATTGAACCCGGTATATATATAGACGTATTCTAGACGACGACGACAACTGTGATTACTTGGCAAACTCCCTGCGCCAAGTCCAAGTTCGAACCTTGAGGTAAAGCGAACTATCTCTTCCATCTCCTGCGATTGCACTTGCTTAAAGCTCAACGCACTCGGAAGACTACAAGTCCGGGAAACCCGAGAACCGGGGAAAGAAACTTGGGAAGAAGAGCCATCGAAAAAAATTCAACTCGTCCTCTGTACCAGCCCATACTTACCAAAAATCAACGTTTTCTCGTTTTCGCCTGCCCAGTAAACGGAACGCAATCACAAGGAACTAATATGCCGGGTCAGATAGTAGGGATTGATATCTTCAACAAAAACGGAATCTGCAAGAGATGTCGTAAGCCGAGGTACATGCACTCAAAGCGATGGTGCTCGAAAACATTCGATGTAGACACCATGATCAAGAAAGGGAGTCAGTTTTGCATGGAGAGTTGTATGTTCGTTTGGAATGAAGATGGAAGCTTGAACCCTTGTTCAATATGTCCGTATTGTTTCCGAACGCCCCCTGTAATCCCTGCAATTCCAGGAAGGGGACCTCCAGCGGGTCTCTTTTCGTCGCACGGTGGCTCCGGGTCCGGCTCGGGCTCGGGATCTAATGGTGGCTCTGCCTCGCATGGGTCAAGCAACAGGGGGTCCGGGTCACGGTCGGCGCCGGGAGCCAGATCAAACGGTGGGGGGAGTTCTTCAAGGTCGCGGTCTTCAGGGTCGTGACTAATGGGCTCATGTGGGCAATCGTTGGGCAATGATTTGTTTGTTTTCCTCGACTGCGAGCGGGAGAAACCGTCCAAAAACAGAGCAGATGTTGCGTTTCTAGTCAAGTGTATGTCCGTTTTAAAAGGGTTTGCGTCTTTAAGTAGCAACATGTTGCCTGACGACAACATTGAAAAGTCGTGTTGTCAGGCTGATTTCCTTGCGCGGATGTCCTACTTCCTTTACTGATTCCGGGTAAGCTGCAGTGTTCCCATTATAAATGCAGGTGTGTCATTAACGTGAAAAGCGCATTTGCAAGGGGCCCACGACTCCCGGATAGGAGGGATCAGCTTTCTGCCTCTAACGTAGATGCATACTGTACAGCACAGTGCAACATGCAGGGGTTCTGCCGTTTTCTCCATAGTACAAATAGAGTGCATGCAAACTGAGAGACTGATATAATTTTTTTTGTCGCATACGGGCGATCATTTTTTTTTTTTTTTGCGACATGTATTTACGAAAGCGCAGAGAGGGGCGGACGGGCAGCTTGGAATGCGTTCGAGAGAGTCGCAGAAACCTACTCCACGAGCCCGACTAGATGTAACATATTAGCAAGGGCCATGCTTTACTTTTCCTTTGAAGGGTTTCATCTCTAGAATGTTTTCATACTGTATGTAATGATTATGTTTATCATATGATGTAGGAGGCGGATGCCAATTCACACTGCGGACACCAGAAGGGCGGCGTCTGTTTATTGGGGGGAAACACATGAAGCAATACACTGAAAAGGCATCAACACATGGACCATTTACACATGAAGCAATGCACTGAAAAGGCATCAACACATGGACCATTTACACATAAAGCAATGCACTGAAAAGGCATCAATACATATACCATTTCCTGAACTTATTTTGGCCAAAACACACTTACTTACCTACCTACCTAACTTCGGAATATTGTTTCAATTTGGAATACCTTTTGTTCAAGATGAAGAATTCAAGGGAATAGAAATGGCAGGCTGGGTTTGTACGTTGTGTCTTTAGTTTTGTACGGGTATCATTACAAGCAAGGATTCAAGGATGGCCAAATGCGCTTCTGCAGGATTCTACTCTCTCATCTTCTTGGAGCGAAATTTGAATTCGAGGGAAAAAGGAGGTAGAGCCCCCAAAGCGATGAACTTATGTGAAGTGCTAGGTGCCCTAGTTTGAGCGGTGAAGTAGTGCCTTTCGGCGTGGTGTTGAGATGAACGAGAGCAAGTATTATGTGTCACTTGTAAAAAAAAGTCATTCAGAATAAGAGGGCAAAAAAGTTCAAAAAAACCGGAAGATGAAAACTAGGCGGCAGCGGCCGTATTACGGGCGTCATACTTCAAGACGAGGCCATTAGAGCCGAGTGCGAAAGCGGTATCCTTATCAAAGAACTTAATCTTGTAGATATTAGCGCCCACCTTATCGACCTGATTATCCCTCTTCCAGCTCTTGCCAGCGTCGCTGCTGCGATACAAGCTGCCGCCGCCAATCGCGGCCCACACTTCCTTGGAGCCCGGGCGGAAGGCGACGTCCAGGATGCCGTACCCGCCGGCGCGGATGTCTACCTTGTTAAACTTGAGCAGCTCGGTCGACTCGAGGTCGGGGTTTGCATCGGTGAAGGCCAGCCCTCCCCCCCGCGTCGCCATCCACACGCCATCATTGACATTGTTGTTCACAAAGCCCATGGCCTGTATCCTGCGGCTCGAGTCCCGCGCGTGCGGGATCCAAAAGTCCTGGCCGGGCTTCCACGTGAGGAAGAAGTTGCCCCGGCTACTGATGGCCAAGTAGGCGCCGTAGGCGTCGCGCAGGACGGAGATAATGGAGCCCGTAAAGTATGACGCGCCACTGACGCCAGACGAGATAGTCCTATTGAGCGTAGCGTCAATGGTCTCGCGGACCTGGGCCTTCCAGTTGCGGCCAGCGTTCTCCGTCATGTAAACGGCGCCCGCATTGGTGGTCATCTCCGCGCGCTGCGGGCCGAGGGCGGTGATGCTGACGGGCTCTCCGGGGAGCTTTGGCGAGAGCGGGACGCGCTCCCAAGTCTTGCCGGA